TTGAAAGAGCTTTAAAATTAGGAAGTTCCTCTGTAGAAAATTGGCTGCACACATTGGCCCTTCAGTCTCTCCCTTGCTGCTGGTACAGTGGTCACAAGTGGACGCTAATCCAGCCCAGAAGAGTGAGGGAGGCCTGGAAGAGTAGCGTGAGTCACCAGGGGCTTTCCGGTGGAGCACAGGAAGCAGTGGAGGAAGCCGGCAGGGGTGCAGGGTGCGGGATGAGCGAGGAGACACTGCCGGCCCCCTCCATACCTTCAGTCCCCTGAGTTCACCAGGAGGTGGAGGAAGCCCAAGGTGATGGAAATTCTAAGAGCTACCACTTCTGTGTGTTCAGAAGTTGCTTTACTGAGACACAGTGCCCCAAAAGCATTCCTTCTAAAGCTCCACATCTATTTATTAGTTGTAATTTTCCTTATCTCAAAGAGAGTTCACAAGGTTTTTGTTGTTTGTTTGTAGTACTAGGGATTGAACCCAGGGATTTCACACTGAGTTACATCCCCAGACCTTTTATTTTATTTGACACAAGGGTCCTCCTAACTTGCTAAATTGCCAAGGCTGGGCTCCAACTTGCAATCCTCCTTCCAGCCATAGCTTCCCAAAGCACTGGGATTACAGTCATGTACCACCATGCTCTGCTTCATTTTTTTTAACATGTGCATGTAGTGCGTACTCTACAGCCAGGCACTGTTCTTTACAAATTTGAAGTGGTTCTGCCGCCTACTTCTCAAGCACAAGGTCCCAAGATCGATCCCCGGTACAAAAAATCCCCAAAAAACAAATTTGAAGTGCTTTACAATATCAAGTCATTTAATCCTCATAGGCACTTTGATATAGAAACTTCTCCACTGAAGCATTGGGAGGTTAAGTAAGTTGCTCCAAGGGACAATGCTGATAGTTTCCTCATTAGAAAAGAAGTTCCATGCAAAGCTTCATCCTTGGGCTACCTTGTTCACTGGAGTCCCTGCCAGGGTCCCTGTACCCAGAACAGGGAGCCACACATAGGACCATTTAAAAAACATGTGTGGCAGATGAGACCAGGCCATAAGGTGGGAGGAAGAGGAAAGAAGTGGGGAGCCAGACTGTGGGGAGATGAGAGCAGGTCTGGACAGGCCACTCGGAGGAAGAGTTGGCTGGGACAGCAGTGTGGTGACAGACAGTGCCAAGAAGCGATGAAAGGTCTCGACACACTTGATACAGTGGGTGAATAAGAGAAAGGCAAGTGCCTCCCTCTTGACTCCTGCTTCCCTCATGCCTCACAACCAATGCATCAACAAATCCTTTTTACTTCTCCAAAATGCATCCAAGCCAGGCCTGTCGGTGCATGCTTATAATCCCAGAACTCTGGGAGGCTGAGGCAAGAGGATCACAGGTTGAGCCCAGCCCGGGCAATTTAGTGACTGAGTGAGACCCTGTTTTAAAAAGGTGGGGGTGTGTAGCTCAGTGCAAAGGCCTTGGGTTCTAAACCGAGTGGTGGGGAAAAAATGCAAAATCCAACCTTTTTTTTTTTTAAATTGCTTCTTTCTGGTGTTTGCCCTGCCCCCCTATTGAAAATGCTACACCAGGCTGGGGGTGTAGCTCAGTGGCACTGTGTCCGCCTCAAAAGTGCAAGGTCCTGAGTTCAATCCCCAGTACCGGGGGAAAAAAAAAAAAAGGAACATCATCCCCTTACCCAACAGTCTTTTTTTTCTTTTTTTCTGGTATCAGGAATTGAACTCAGGACCTTGTGGTTTCCAGGCAGGCATGGTGCCACTGAGCTAAATCCCCAGTCCTTGTCTTTTTTTTTTTTAATTGTCTTGAACTTTTAATATGGAAAATTAGCATCTTATCTCTCCATCCATTAATAAAATATATAATTTCATGCCAGGCACAGTGGCCCACACCTGTAATCCCAGCTACTCTGGAAGCTGAGGCAGGAGGATTGCCAAGTTTGAGGCCAGCCTGGGGAATTTAGTAAGATTCTGCCCTTAAATAAAAGGTGAAGTGGGGCCAGGGATTTAGCTCAGTGGTTCTGCTGCCTGCCTCGAAAGCCCAAGGACCCGAGTTCATCTCCGGTACCAAAAAAAAAAAAAACACCAAAAAAGTGAAGCTGGGTGGGGTGGCACACACCTGTAATCAATCCCAGCACTGGGGAGGCTGAAATTGTGAGTTTGAGGCCAGCTTGGGCTACACAGTGAGTTCAAGGCCAGCCTGAACTATGTAGTGAGACCCTGCCTCAAAAAACAAACAAACAAAATAAATAAATAAATAAAAATGTTAAAAAAGGACTAGGGATGTAGTGCAGAAACTTTAAAAAAAAAAAAAAAGTGAAAAAAGGGCCTGGGAGAAGGGGGTGGCTCATTGTGAATACCCTGGGTTCCATCCCCAGTACAGCAAAAAAACTAAACTTTTTAATAGTTAATCAACAAACTTTTAGATTTTCTTTTCCCCATAAAGTTCTTAGGCTTAACTTCTAGAAACTCTAGCTTTTCTCAACATTCTTTTCTTTTCCTTAGAAAGGTCTGGCAATGGTGCACCAGGGTAGCCTTGAACTCTGGACTAAACAGGTCCTCTTACCTCAGCCTCTGGTGGCCAACCTGGCTTCCCAATGCTGCTTAACCCCTTCCTGGCTTAATTCTCCACAGCAGACATACTCTAACTTTTAGTTTGTCTCTTCTACTTGAATGAGCACCAGCAAAAGTGATTGTTTTTTCTCCTTTTTTCCCAGTACTGGGAAATAAACCCAGGGCATTCCCACTGAGCTACATTCCCAGCCATTCCTTTCTTTTTTTTTTTTTCATTCCTTTCTTTTTTCTCTCTCTCTTTCCTTTTTTTCTAGTACGGGGGATCGAACTCATGACCTTGCCCTTGCAAGGCAGGGGCGGTGCCACTGAGCTAAATCCCTGGTCCCTTTCTTTGTTTATTTTTATTTTGAGACAGGACCTCACCAAGTTGCCCAAGATAGATTCAAATTTGTGATCCTCCTGCTTCAGCCTCTCAGAGTGCTGGCACTACAGGCTACATTCCCAGTCTTTTTTTCTTTTAAATTTTTATTTTGAGACAGCTTCTGGCTAAATTGCCCAGGCTGGGCTCAAATTTATGATTTTCCTGCTTCAGCCTCTCAAGAGTGCTGGGACTCAGCACATATGCCTGTAAGCACTAGACAAATAACAGGGCATTCAATGCTATTTGATGTAGCCGGGCATGGTGGCCCCGTCTGCAATCTCAACACTCAGGAAGCTTAGGCAGGAAGTTGCTGAAGAGTTCGAGGCCAGTCTGGGCTATACGGTGAATTCATTTTTTTTTTCTTTTTCTCTTTTTTTTTTTGGTACCCGGGATCGAACTCGGGACCTTGTGCTTTCGAGGATGGCGCTGGAACCACTGAGCTAAATCCCCGACCCTATATGGTGAATTCAAAGCCAGCTTGGACTACATATCGAGTCCCTGCCTCAAAAAAACAAAAAACCCCACAAAAACTGAGGAATTCATGAATGCCAACTATGTGCCAGGCACTGGACAGATTAAGCCCCCACTGACCTGACTGGAACTGACAGGGAAGTAAATCTTTTGATTTGAGGGGTCGCATGCTATGCCAAATGCTATGAAAGGAAGTCCTCAGTGGACAGAAATTAGAGCGCTAGGAAGGGGCGCTGGGGAACGGCTGCCATCCTCGTCAGCCTTAAAGATGGGCAGATAAGCCCCGGCAGGGGAACAGAGTGAAGGGAGTGGCCTAGTTCAAGAACACCAAGAACACCGATGTCACTGTGGCTGGAGTTGGCACTGGAGAGGGAAGGACAAGGTGTAGGTGGGAAAGGCGAGCCTTCAATTCCCATCCCAAAGCCTCCAGGGGAGAGGATTACTAGGAATGGGATTTGTTGCCTTCTGAATTGCTGAGAATGGAAGGGTGTCAGCTGGGATGAAGAGGTTGCGAGAGCTAATGGCATGAAGGGACATTTTAAATCCTGGGCGAAGCCAGGAATGGTGGTGCACACCTGTAATTCCAGCACTCTGGAAGGCTGAGACAGGAGGATCCCAAATTCTAGCCCAGTCTGAGCAATTTAGAGATACCCTGTCTCAAAATAAAAACAGGGCTGGGATGTAGTTCAGTGCGAAGGCCTTGGATTCAATCCCCAGTACAGGAAGCCCTGGAGGATGCATTACCCGGAGATGGAAAGTGGGGACACACAGGGCTCCAAGAAACACCTCCAAGCCCTTGGCAGCCCCTTCCAGAGGCTCGTTCGCGTCCAGGAGCCCCACGCTCACCGGGAAGCAAAACCAGTACTTTAACTGGCAGGCATGTCTCCTTCCCGCCCTAGGCCTTCCCGGACCCTGCTGGTCTTCGCTGGCCCGAGGGGCAGCGCTTTCCTTCCCTGGGGCGCCTCCTGCACGCGTCTCCTGATCTCTGCTTCTCCTCAAGTAGGGTGCGCGGCTGCCCTAGACACCAGCGGGCGCCCGGTCCGGCCCAAGCCACAGCTCCGGGCCCCGGCCAGTGCTGGAACATCTGGAACCTAACAGCCCGCCCGCGGGGAAGGCAGGGTCGGCAGGGTCGGCGGCTGGCGCGGGGAGGAGCGCCAGGCAGGAGGAGACCTCACAAAGTCCGCAGCCAACCAAGTCCCGAAGAGTGAGCGCTCAGCCTCACACTCCCTAAACCAGGGGCGGGGCGACCCGGCGCTTTGCAGGGCAGTGATTTAAACCTATCATCGCAGAGCGTCGGCAACTCCCCGCCCAATTGAGATACATTTTTTTTAATTCTGAAGGCGGTTCCGTCATGGAATCCTGCAGCCCAATGAAACAGGTGGAAATTTCCAGAAAGAACAGGACCAATGGGCGCGGCTAGCTGAGCCACGATTGGCGGACCAAGTGTCCAATCCAGGTTGCAGAAGTTCGCTCCGCCCTCCGATCGTAGAGTCTGGTGTGGGCGGGGTTTATTTGGGATAACCCAATCCCGAGGTGGGGAGAGAGCAGCGTTGAAGAGAGTACTCTCTGATGCCCAATGAAAGGGAAGTATACTTGATGGGCTTGACCTAAAGCCAATGGAAGGGGAGTACAGAGAACCTAGCCCAGAAGAGTTTGACCAGTGAGCAGGCGAGGAAGGGGCGGGAGCCGAGGTCCCGGCAGCTTCTAGTAGGTTCCAGAAGGCGGCGCGTGCGGTTGGTAACGCGGAGCGGACGGGTTCGATTCTACGAGGTTCCCGGCCCGGCTATGGAGCAGGTGAAGGGGGAGGGGCGGCGGGGCCGCCCGTGGCCAGGCCGTGGTGGAGGGGCGGGGTGGGCCGGGGCGGCCAGAGGCGAGGGCGTGGGGGCCGCCGCCGGCGGGCAGGAGCATGTCTGCGGCGGAGGCCCAACCCGGAGAGCCCGTCGCCCCCTGGCTCGGTGAGCAGGGCCGCGGGAGGCCTGGGCATAGCGAGAAGCGCCGAGGGCTGGGTTGGGCGGCGCGGGGGATGGTGCAGGCCGCGTTGGGAGGCTGGAGGTGGGCGAGCGGCCCGGGGAGGCCCAGAGTGCGGACGGAGGAGTCGGCGCGTACTCGGCCGCGGTGAACTTGGAAGGAAGGAGCGGGGACCGCAGTACGCAGGAGTAGTTGCGGGATTTAGCAGCCTGAGCCGCAGTGGGGAAAAAGATGTTTCCGAGAAGGTCAGGGTGGGCGCGGGTGGAGAGGAGACTCCGGGAGCAGGAGGAGGAGGGAGGCGCGGGTCCCGGACGGAATCCGCCTCTGTCCGCGATTTCCAGATGTGCGTGCGGCCCTTCCCCCTATAGTCGGCGACTGTAGGATGACCCAGGACTGACACCTCTGGAAAGTCGGTGTCTGATTACACAGGGATTGGTAGCTTTCTTGCATGCAGTGAGAAGTTACTTGCCTCTGCCCAGCATTGGGGGGCCCAGTTGGAGCTGTTGGTCTTGTTCTCAGTGACTCAGTTCGGTCCACGGTGGCCTGCAAGCTGTGAGAGGTCTGGGGATCTTTTGTTCCATTGGAAGCTGTCATTGAACTGTGGTGATTCATCCGGAAAAAAGAGAAAACAGCTCACTTTTTGGGGGAATGATCTACAAAACCAGACCTTTTGTTCTAGTACAGTAACTGCCCTTGGTGGGTAAAGCTCCTTGCTAACTCGATGAGAAAGAGTGGTATTGGAGAGGTGGTTAAACTTTTTGTGCCTTGTAAAAATTAAATTGTAGCTGGGGTTCATGGTTATAGTATAGATATAAGAAACACTCTGCTGTTATAGGAACAGAAAAGGCTGTTTTGCCTTTTTTTTTTTGTCCTGGAGATTGAATCCAAGGCCTCAAGCATAAGAAGCTCATCCCCTGCCACTGAATTATACACTCCACCCCAAAATAGTTTTGTTTTTTTGTTTTTTGGGGTTTTTTTTAGTTTTTGTTTTTTTAAATCACATCAGCCATTATAGAAATGTGTGTACAAGTAGACTGTAAAGTAATATTAAACTCAAGGCCACAAACTTACACGACAGTTATACAAATGATTTTATTTTTTTAATTTTTGTGTGTGTGTTTTTTTGTTTTATTTTTTTTTAGTACCAGGGATCGAACTTGGGACCTTCCGATTGCAAGGCAGGCGCCAGAACCACAGAGCTAAATCCCCAGCATATACAGATGATTTTAAAGGGGGCAGTGCTGGGGATGAAACCCAGGGGTTCTTTCTCTACTACCTACCATTGAGCTATATCCGTATTCTCAGTCTTTTTTATTTTGAAATAAAGTTGCAGAGGCTGGCCTTGAACTTTCTTTTCTTTTCTGCACTCCTTTATTTTCTTTCTTTCTTTTTTTTTTTTTTTTGGTACCAGGGATCAAACTCGGGTCCTTGCGCTTGCGAGGCAGGCCGTGGAACCACTGAGCTAACTCCCCGGCTCTTTTCTTTTCTTTTCTTTTTAACGTGGGTACTGGGGACTGAACTTGGGACAATGCACTTTCGAGGCAGGTGGCAGAACCACTTAGGTAAATCCTTGTAGCCTTGAACTTTCAATTCTCTTGCTTCAGCCTCCCAAATTCTGGGATTACCAGTATGCATCACCACATCCTGCATAATGAGTTCCAGGCCAGCCTGGGCTGCATAGTGAGACCCTGTCCCCAAAAAACCATATTTATGGTCTTTTTTAAGAGATGGGGTTTCACTGTGTTGCTCAGGTTTGCTCTGACCTCTTGGGCTGTGATCATCCTTCCTCAGCCTCCTGAATAACTGAGAACACAGGCCCATACCTCTGCACCTGACTTGTTTGCATTTTCAACTCCTTTTTTTTTTTTTTTTGGTGCCAGGGATTGAACTCGGGTCCTTGTGCTTTCGAGATAGGGTCTTGCTAAGTTACTAAGTTTGCCAAGTTGTGTGCAAACTTCACAACTTTCTGCCTCAGCCTCCCAGAGTGCTGGGATTATAGGTGTGTACTACCATGTGCAGCTTCTACGTGATATTTTTATGTGTGGGGTTTTTTGTTGTTGTTTTTTCCTTTTTTT